ATAGAGTCAATAAAGCATAGTAGATCAAGAAGATTGCTTATAAGTGTGTGTGTATGTGTGTTCGTGTGTGTGTGTGTTTCATGACTTTGAAAGAAGTCATAGTCAATAAAGCATAGATCAAGGTTGCTTATAAGTGTGTTTATGTGTGCATGTGTTTCATGACTTTGAAAGAAGTCATAGAGTCAATAAAGCATAGATCAAGAAGATTGCTTGTAAGTGTGTGTGTGTGTTCACGTCTGCAGAATACCCAGGTGATTCATATCCACAGTAAATTCTGGGAAGAACCACTGTGGATGATATTGACAAAAGCGGTTGTAGACCACATTCTGAGAAATACTGCTCCAATCCCTGCTCTTCCAGAATCCACTTGCAAAAAAGGCAAAGGTGGTTATCAATCCTACTTAACAGGTGACAGGTCCACTGCTGAAAGGCAGTATCATTAGTCAGTGGTCATGCAGTTTGGTGATAAAACAGACTGAAAGCAGGTAGTCTAGATCCAGCTGATTGCAGCCCAGAATTGCCAGATCTTGCTATTTTCCAGAAAACTCCACAAATCTGAATTTTTATATGAGATAGTCTTGACTTTCAAAATCCTATGTAGACCGAAGAAAATGAGTTTGGAATCCTAATAAAGTCCATGGGCCACTAGTTTCCAACCTGGCTAGCTCAGTACAAAGTTTACCCTGCTGTCTCTACAAGGAACTGAGGACAAAGGTTTGGCCTTTCCAGATCTTTCCAGGCAGAATCAAAAGCTTCTCACAGCACTTGTCAAAATGGCCCTTTCAATGTTCAGTGCTGTGAGAAAAAAAATTCTGTTATTTATAAATTAGCCAATCTAAGGTATTTTATCACAGCAGCCCAAATGGATTGCTTGTCACATATCCCTAAAAAGTTATTTACATGCTGTCTTTCCAACTAGATTGCAAGTCCCTGGAGAAGTGGCACATACTCAACTATCAATTGTGAGCATAACACCTGACAAATAGAAAGCATTTAATATATCTTAGATAAGTGAGTGTGCATGAAAATTAGAAGCTTAAACCAGGCATAGTGGCTATACTTGTAATTCCAGCTCCTTGGGAGGCTGAGGCAGGAGGATTCCTTGAGCCCAGGAGTTGAGACCAGCCTGGGCAACATAATGAGATTCCCCCACAAAATAAATTAATTAAAAGTTTTTAAAAAAAATCAGAAACTGGAATGGGCACAGTGACTGACGCCTGTAATCTCAGCACTTTGACAGGCCGAGGCAGTCAGATTACCTGAGGTCAGGAGTTCGAAACCAGCCTGATCAACATGAAGAAACCCCGTCTCTATTAAAAATACAAAATTAGCCAGGTGTGGTGACGCATGCCTGTAATCCAAGCTACTCGGGAGGCTGAGGCAGGAGAATCACTTCAATTTGGGAGGTGAAGGTTGCAGTGAGCGGAGATTGTTCCATTGCACTCCAGCTTGGGCAACAAGAGCAAAACTCCAACTAAACTGGCTGGGCTCAGTGGCTCCCACTTTTATTCAAGCACTTTGGGAAGCCAACGCAGGAGGACTGCTTGAGGCCAGGAGTTAAAAGACCAGCCTGGGAAACATAGCAAGATCTCTTTTCTACTAGAAGTAAAAAAAAAAAAACAACAACAACAAAAAAAAAAAACTGGGCGTGGCAGTGCATGCCTGTAGTACCAACTACTTGGGAGGCAGAAGCAAGAGGATTGCTTGGGCCCAGAAGTTCGAGGTTGCAGTGAGCTGTGACATGCCACTGCCACTCCAGCCTTGTCTCTTAAAAAAAAATCAGAAGCTTAAATAGGGTGGCTATGGGCCAAATGAATTTATTTCCTTGTTGTCATATTGTTGTTGTTTTTAAACAACATAGCAAGACCCCATTTATAAAATAAATAAATAAACAGAAAAGTACAGAGTCTTGCTATGTTGCCCAGGCTGGCCTCCAACTCCTGGGCTCAAGTGATCCTCCCACCTCAGCCTCCCAAGTAACTGGGACTATAATTACCACATTGCTGAACCTGGTTTGAGCCTCGGTTTAAGAACTGTAATGGGGTTCCTCTGTAATCCATAATGGTTTATTGCTGCCACACAAAACATACTTGTTAAATGTGTACAGTTCATAGGCCGGGCGCGGTGGCTCAAGCCTGTAATCCCAGCACTTTGGGAGGCCGAGGCGGGTGGATCACGAGGTCAAGAGATCGAGACCATCCTGGTCAACATGGTGAAACGCTGTCTCTACTAAAAATACAAAATATTAGCTGAGCATGGTGGCGCGTGCCTGTCATCCCAGCTACTCAGGAGGCTGAGGCAGGAGAATTGCCTGAACCCAGGAGGCGGAGGTTGCGGTGAGCCGAGGTCGCGCCATTGCACT